GAATGTTACTGCTCGCAGCCAAAATGGAATCATCAATGACCACATACGCAATAGGGTTAACAAACTGCTAATCCACATAAACTTAAAAAATTGAAAATACCCACCTTCAATGCTAGCAGCTTTAGGAATCAAAAGTGTGAATTACATACATAAAAACGTAAGCCTAACCTATCCCATGTACGAGTCAAAACTGATAACCATGTAAGTGGATGGAAAGGAAGCGCTCACGCGAGTTTATTCATTATGCAGTTTTCGTGTCGCGCGAATAAAAACCACCTTTATTGACGATTCGCTCAAAATCCCACAGATAATTATCAAACGGCGTCGCCAAACATAAAACAGGGGTGTATCAAGGATTTTTTCTGGGTGGGTCGTGATCATAATTTTTTAGACCTTTTTACAATGAAATAACAGCAAGATGTGATTAAAATGTCAATATAATTTGCTTGAAGTGGATGGCAGGCTCAGTTTCAGAATTGCTGGAATTGAGATAGATTACGTCACGTAATTGGCAAGGTCTGTGGACCCATTGCTGGTACATCAACAATGCTTTTTCATTAATGTCATTGTGAAAAGGCCCTAGAAAAAAATGTTTTTGGAAAAAATGTGGACCTTTGAAAATTTTTGAGAGGGGGGTGGGGTCGTACGACCTTCCCGACCGCCCGACTGTCATCGTAAGATAAAGTTTGTGCTCGGCTTTTTGTGTATTAACAATCATTCCATCCTGTATTGATTGTACGTGTATTAAGGTGTATAAAATTATTACAAACGCCCTGTCTCGTTTTTCATTATCTTTTGTCATCCGTGCTATTATATGAACGTAAATAAACCATTCCAGGATATGTAACTTTATAATAATATATGATTTCATAACATGCTGGTATATTTATAAAAATAATACTTATCAAGGGCGTTTTTTAATTCACAATACTGCACAAGAATTTAAAATGAAGTGCAGTAATAGTTGTAAAATACACTGCTGCATATTAACAAATTTATTGTTATGATTATAATTAATTAGGCTTATTATAATGACAATGCCATTGTGCACGACAGTATTATGTATGCGATTAGGGATTTATGCATCACAGGAAGTATTCATAGTGGTATCTGGGGTGAGGACCTACCATGTGATTAAACATAAAAAAATTATAAGCAGAGAGCAATCAACATGAGTGGAATTTACAGTGGATGAAATCCATGCCTTTCAAATTGAGGATCATGGTTTCATATCCTGTTGATATACGGTACGGTTATAAATATTTGAGACCTAAATTGGACAAAATTCCATAACGGCTGGTAGTTTACCGGTTCTTTTAATTGCCTGTGTGTTATACTGTATATTGTATCCTTCCTTTAAAATGTTGTCTAAGACGAAATAAGTTGTGTACAAATGTAGTTTCTTTTGTAGGTCAGTGTTGGTGTGATGTGTTTTGACTGGTTTCTGATCGTCTACCAATGTCTCTGTCCACATGAGCAACGATGACGTATTCGGAGTGCGTCAGCGACGGTGAATATTATATTTGCCCTTCTCAATACGGGGACGTTTCTAAAACATCCTGTTGCGTTGACAGCTATGGAAGCGGTATGTGCTGCGTTCCAGAATCGGTAAACGCGGAAGGAGACCATTGGGGATACCGGACTGAAAGGTAAACTATAGGTTGAGGTTGAGGACACACACGTACACGGGGACTTTCATGGGCTATCCATGCATCTCACTTTGTTGTTCCTGCTGTTTCATGTTTTTTTGCCGTTTACTTGTTGATATGCTTATTGCCTTAAAACAAATTTTCTTGCAGGTTTTCGATACTTTTCTTGAATTTTTGATACGGTATGGTATCAAACGGTTCTATTGTATTTTAAGATTAAATATTTTAGTTTCCGAATATTTTTAGTTTCCGATCTGATCAAACTTCGATCAAGCACATGCACATGGTCCCTGAGGTCAACGACAAGCTCGTCAATTCTGTTTGTACCGCCTTGCAGACTAAAAACGTATGGTGAAAGAGCCTTTGATGCCATCTCTTACTATTTTTAAAAAACAACTGAAATCACATCTCTTTGACTCAGCTTACTCATAATTTATCGGCCATTTTATTTAATTATTTTTTTCTTGAGTCGGTCGTATCCAGGTGTTGTTAGGGAATGGGTTGGCACGGTGATCCTGTGAATTATGTTTACGCGGGTCGGTCGGCTAGCCCTCAAAGTGCGGAAGAACGGCACACTGACTCTTCCCTAACGGCACCTGGTCTCGCACCCACCTTGCTTGCTTGTTTCACTTTCATTGGTCTTTTTTTTTATTGGCGCATAGAGACTGCTGTATCATGCGCCTTATAAATCCATTCATTGATTGATCTTTTTACATTTAATTAATTAAATGTTTTTATATATATATATATATATATATATATATATATATATATATATTTAAGATGTAAATAAATCAAATCAAATCAAGGTGTAGACCTACAGTTAGGCCATGGTGGTATAATCAATTTAGTAGGCCCTAGTTGACATGATAAGCCTAATATGTGTAGAATTGCAAGTATTTTATTAGCGATGATATGCCTATAATAATAATAATAATAATAATAATAATAATAATAATAATAATGATAATGTCAATGGTAGTGATATTAGGCCTAATAATGCAAATAATATTAATAATGATGATGATCATAATAATAAAAAAATAATAGTAATAATAATATTTATTATATTGGACTTCGAACTCAGTTGGGACCAATAAAGCAAACCAGACCAGAGAATGACATAGAACGTTCCACCATCGCTCAAACGTAACAGAAATTGAAGGAGTAACGGTGTTACTAGTGGTAGTGGTGGTGGTGGGAGTGTTTCAAAATGCAAAAGAAAAATAAATAAATAAATAAATAAAATAAAATAAAAATAATCAAATAAAAAAAAAAATAATAAAAACGAACCTTTTGACCGTATCGGAGCCATGTTCAATCAAATATGGATTCCGAGTGTCGAGATCTCATACCGTAGCATATCGTACATTGACCCTAACCTGACTCATTTTACTCCGCCTTACAAAAGCAGATCCAGTACCTGTGCTTGTATACTATTAATAAAAATTACATTGTAATGCTTTAATATTATGAAAATACTAATAAAGAAACTGGTCGTTCAGCATAACTAAATTATGGCCTAATAGGTAATACACGTTACTTCGCTGAGTGACGAATGTCTTACGTCACAGTACGTTATTCGACATTGACCTACAGAATGAACGAATTGATAGTTAGTTAACAACACTTCACCGTACCAAACCATGGTTTGTCAATGGTCTTGCTTTATGAGCCCACTCTCAAGGCGACCGTACCTGAACTTACTATCTCGTGCTCACTGCCAAGTAATTGTAGACATCAGTGACAAAGCCTGTCACTATATAATTTCAATCATCAATGCCATAATGGTTATAAAAATTAATAGTGAAATAGCATATCGATAACCTATGTGCTGCGTAGGCATTTGTGACGGCGTGGTGTTCCCTTCAATACCCTATATGAACGTGCTTTTTTAGAAATTTCGTTTGCGCCTTGGAATTTATAGATTAATAATGTAAGCCTAGATATCTTGAATGGCCATTGTCGTAGACCGCATTGAAGGTTTCCATAACCAAAATTAATTAAGTTTTTGAAAACAATTATATTATCACGTCATTTACATATGACTGACGCTCAAACGTGGTTGAAAATAATGATGATATATTAATATCATTAAGCAAATTAATAAGATGACCGATGATGATTATACTATTATATATGATTATAGTAAGGGGATATGGTTAAGGATTGCTAATATATGATAGGCATAGTTCCAAAGAAAGGAAAATCATAAACAGTGGACTTAAGAGCTATCAATTTGTTTATTTTTCAGCCCAATGGTATATTACGTGGATTACCTACTGATTCTTGGCGCTAGTGTAATATTGCTAGTAATTGTTGGATTGTTATGCTGTGAATATTTATATTTGAACACAGATGAAGATAACTTATACCTTATACGACAGCAGTCCCTTACACCTGAAGTCAGGCTCACTAAACCACATGAGTACAACGGCAATAATTTTAGAGTTATTCGTGAGTACAACCGGCATATAGATTCTGCACCGTCGGCACCGCCGAGCTATTACGAAGAATTTGATAACGATAAATATTTTGAGTCCTCGAATGGATATACGAATGACTATTACAACCCGAGTGGCCATCCGCTTTTATATTCCGAGCCAGCTGTACCGCAACCGACTGGATCCACACAACATAACTATCGACCGCCTTGCTATGCTCCTGGGTCATCGTACTATTACAAGTGAATTCAGGCATAGCCCAGCACATATAATTCAATTTACATCATAATGATGAAGAGCGTTGGTTCATTATGATCTCATGATTTTTTATCAGTTTTATAGTTATTTATTTATTATTAACACTACAATTAAATAAATATTTAAAGAGTGGTTTTTTACATTTTAAACAAAACTTATGAACACAATTTGGTTTATTTAAAATTCTTAGGCTTATTTTCAATATTTATTTAATTGTTTTATTGAAATTCAATAAATTACTAATTCATTTATTAGCTCGATGAGTAAATGACCTGAGCTACAGATAGAACTCTTTAATTTCTTTTATTATTTTCATGCGCATAATATTAAAAAAAATATGAATTATTTTATGTAGTTATGTTAACAATCTGCTAAATTTTAATATAAGTTAAGTGTTCTAATAATAATGAATGACCTAAACTTTTAACATATTGGTGTTACAATTTCCTACAATCCGAATAAAACATTGTAGGCCTATTTGAGTGATAAGTAGAACATTTTTTAAGTTAATGTATAATCCGTCTTGTAAAGTAATAGCCCTTTTTGTAGTGTCAGGTCAAACCTAACAATCACAATAAGACATGGATTACTTGCATGTCCCACAAATATACACGTTTACGTATGTCTGCACTGTTTGTTGAACCTCAGAAAGAGTATTCAGACCTTTAAGTTGGTTGGTATTAACATACAATTCGATGAGTATAAAAGTAAAGAGCAAGGATGACAGTATGATAGTTAATAATAGTGTTATTTTCGTTCTGGAAGTCACTTCGTGAGCCTAGATCTGGCCTGTAAAATCGTCAAGTAGTGTCTTCCTAATCTGTTCGCAGATATATCTTAAGCCTAAGCTTCTTGAAAAACCCCAGGGCCATGATCTTTTGGAGCATTAGTAATCCATTCCGAAAATTTTGAAGTGATTATTTAGAGTAGTTTACTGGTGTGCGCAAAACAACATTGTTCAAAATCTATGCCGTACAAATGAAGCATATACATATACTGAGAGTGTTGTTCACTTTGTATTTGTTTAACAAATATGTGGACCTGCTTAAAACACGAGTTGTACCTTATTGACTTACTTTAATTTATTACACAAGTTTTCGCCAACATGTTGCTTCATCAAGTGTGTTATAAATATACGCCTACCAACTATGTCTAGATCACTGATTCCCATCTCGATTTGTGTCTATTTATGGTCACAGCCTATCTGCGGTTTAAAATACGCGAATCATTAATTGAATTTTAAGTAAATAACCATGGACCTATTAATAGGTACATGAAAACCGATGATTTAAAGCATTACCTTTTGAGATTCTAACTGAATGTAAATTATTGGTTATCATCATCATAAGATTCCCAATCCCAAACTGTCCCAATAGTACCAGCAATACGACGGAAGACTTTATTAATTATTAATTAAAGCTTGGTGTTGCTGAGAATACGTAACTGCCTATTCATTAGGAGTCAAGTCTCTGAAAACGCTGTCTTCTTCCCAATTTAATTTGCACTTTATGAATTATTAAGTATAATATTAAACTGAGGAAAAAGCCAGTGCTTCATTTCATCACAAGTGTAAAGAAACATTGATCGAAAGAAAGACTATACGGTAAGCACCTATAGTCATGTCACGTTTGTCGCATTTCATCATCATTTGACATTTACTTCAAACGACATGCACACCATTCGCAAAGGAGTAGGATATTGCCTGCCAGTGTATTTGCCTAAATTACCACCAGTAGGACCGCACTAAAAACTTTATCTGTCTTTTGATTTCTAGTGGGGTGGTAATTCTGGTGGTGATTTAGGCAATGCACTTGTAGAATATTATGTTGTCAAGAGTTACCGATGTGGTCGACTGGCTTCAAAGTTTGACTAATAAAATAGAGGCGAATTGACAGTGTTTTCCTATTTTTTCTTTCTTTCAACAATCCTTTGTAACATTCTCTGTGGAAAGTTTTGCTATGTCAAGAGCAATGTTATACAATGACATTCTGCCAACCGCAGCATTCTTGCCATACATTCTGTCAGATTATGTTCAACAAGTCACATTACTTTAGTCAGTTTCATTATAAGGATTTAACAAGCTTCCATTATAAGGATTTAAAACAGGCACTACGTACGTACGTCAGAGTGATTAAATCATCATGCGTAGTGCAGACTGCTAGACTGACCATCATCTGGTGGTCTCAATGAAGAAATTATACCGGTAACTCCTCTTGTAGTAGCAATTTATACTAGGAAATATTTCAAAGCATTTTTTAAGCTGCTACAAAAAACTTTATTTAAACAAACATTATACAATATTACAATGTCACATAATGTCACAATTACTACCACTGTTGCTGTTTGCTACTACCACTAATACTGCTTGGACACTTCAAACTAAAATGAATAGGCCCATCGTACTTCTCTAGCATAATCGCCAAACAATCACAGCGCATCGTGTTATCATTGGTCGTCTTCCGTTCTCAACCTCAAGTCTGTATCAAGTACTGAGACACTATTTATTTTATGTTGTTCCTAAGAAAGAGCACACATAAGCACGCATTTAACATACAATTAACACATACAAATTATAGGCCAAATGCATAATATATACATACATACACATACAATATGCACTAAGAGTGTAAGAATAAAAGCATGATATAGAATGTAAATACAATTGTTGAACTATATAATAATAAAACTGACGAATTTATTCATAAGCTTCGATACTTTGAATGAATGCATGAGCAATTAAATTATCGGTTTTAACGAAACATAACAACCAAGTACGAACAAAATAGAAAATATCCATTATCCAAATATCATATCCTAACAATACATAAATTATATAAAAATTTATACTTCTGCACGAATTATACCAGCCAAAACATTTTTGCTTATCAGACGTGATATAAACTATTGCACTTTATGTTTTAGGTAAGTTAGTCAAGAAAAACCTTCCTTACTCAATAAAGACGCATACGTAAATTGTTTCCGATGTTCTTTGTGCATGTTTTAATTGGTTGGTAATCAATTTGAATATTTTTGTAGTTTGAAGTCTGTCTTTTATTATTATTATTATTATTATTATTATTATTATTATTATTATTATTATTATTATTATTATTATTATTATTATTATTTTCTGGCGGTACCCTATGATTTATTTTCGACTTTTACAGATAATCTAAATATCTATTTTTTGTTGCTAAGTTTTTATTTCGCCAGCTATCACTAAAATTGGCCAACCCTCTAAAGGTATGGTTGAAATGCACCCTCATTAATCATCACGAAAACACTATGTACATAAAGTCTACCTTCTATCAACTGCCATTTTTGCTATTGAGCATCTTTTGCTTATTAAAAGCCTTAATTATCTGTAAGAACATGCTCTGTGTAAAAC